AGCACAACTTGTACAAGGAAAGGTCATGGAAGCTCCATAGACACTTCCAAACTCCCTGAGGGACTGAATTGCTGGGCAGAGGGCTGTGGGGACCATAGTTTTGGGGAACATCTAGCTCAATTGGCATAACACAGTTTATAAAGACAATGTTCTACATTCTGCATTGGTGAGTAGCATCTGAGGTCTTAAAAGCCTGTGAGCAGCCATCTAAGATACTCCACTGGTCTCACCCCTTCGGGAGCAAGGGGGGAATGAAGAGAACAAGATACAAGGAAAAGATTAGTCCAAAGGACTAATGGACCACAGCTATCACGGCCTCCACCAGATGAGTCCAGTACAGCTAGATGGTGCCTGGCTACCACCACTGACTTCTTTGAGTAGGATCAAAATAGAGGGTCCTGGATAGAGCTGGAAAAGGATGTAGAATAAAATTCTAACTCACACACACACACAAAAAGACCAGATTTACTGGCCTGACAGATTGGAGAAACCCCAATAGTATGGCCACCGAATGCCCTTTTAGCTCAGTGGTGAAGTCACTCCTGAAGTTCACAGTTCAGCCGGGGATTGGACAGCCTCATAAAAGAAAACAGGACTAATGAGGCACAGCAGTCCAGGGACAAGGACTAGAAGGCAGGACGGGACAGGACAGCTGGTGATAGGGAACCCAAGGTTGAGACGGGACCGTGTTGGCATGTCGTGGGGTTGTTAACCATTGTCATAGGGCAATATGTGTACTCTTTAATGAGAAACTATTTGTTCTGCAAACCTTCATCTAAGGTACAAAAAAAAAGAAAAAAAGAAAAGAAAAGAATTATCTATGTGAAATCAAATTGACAACAGCAACTCAAAAGGTTTGAATGGAAGCCTAGGGGGCAATGAGTTGAAGATAATGGTGATGGAATAATTTGGAAAAGGATAGTGAGAATAGCAACACAACCGGAGGAATGTAATCGATGTCACTGAATTGTATATGTAGAAACTTTTGAAATGCTGTCTCTTTGGCTATGTATATTTTCACAAAAAAAGGTCCTCCAGGTTTGAGAAGGGAGGGTGTTGACATGTCCTGGGGTTGTTAACCAATGTCATAAAACAATATGTGTACTGACTGTTTAATGAGAAACATTAAAAAAAAAAAAAAAAGTAGCCAAAAGTTAGAAACAACCTAAATGCCTATCAACAGATGAATGGATAAACAAAATGTTGTACATACATACAATGGGGTACTACTCATCCAGGAGAAGAAATGAAGTCTTGATACACGCTACAGTATGGATTGAGCTGGAAGACATTATGCTGAGTGAAATAAGTCAATCACAAAAGGACAAATATTGTATGACCTCACTTATATAAAAAGACAAGAAAAGGTAAATATATAGAGAATAAAGTTTATTAGCGGTTACCAGGGGTGAGAAAGAGGGGGAGATGGGGGTTAACGATAATGGAAATATTGAATTGATTAAGGGTAGGACTGCACAGCTGATTACTGTAATTGCTGTCAATAAGTTGTACACTTGTAAAGAGTTGAATTGGCAAAAGTTGTGTGATAGTTATGGTTACAACAAAGTAAAAAAAAAAAAGTAGCTGCTGAGACTACTTATGTACAACAAAAAACCTCCTGGTATTTGGTTTCTTGGTTTGGAGGTTCACGGTCATGGTTACATGGGACATCCCAGTTAATTGGCCTAATAGCAGGTTGAGTGCTTCTGCTCTACCTCCTAGTTCCTTGCATACTGCCTGGGGTCTTAAAAGTTTGCAAGCAGACATCCAAGTTACAACAATTGGTCTCTATTCGCCTGGAGCAACAGAGGAAGAAGGAGCGTCAGGAATAGAAGTGAGGATATGGAATGTGTGGCAAATTGCCTCCAAGAACAACTGCCTCCTTTGCCACGAGACTAGAAGAACTGGATGGTGCCCAGCTAGCGTTACTTAATATTTTGATCAAAGATTCTACAGAAGAATCTTGATCAAAAGGGAGAAAATGCAGAACAGAATTTCAAATTGTCATGGACTTCTTGGAGCCATGAAGGTTGGACGAACCCCTGAAACTATTGTCCTGAGATAATTTTTAAACCTTAAGCCAAAAATATCCCCCTAAGTCTTCTTTAAACCAAACTATAATAGTTTAGTTTAACTAGTAAAAAATGTCTGCCTTTAGTATTAAACTCTTTTAAGAACTAGCTATATGGATCACACTGACAATAGCAACCTGAAAGATTAGATAGTAACCTTAGGGAGCAGTGAATTTATGTTAATGGGGGAAGAAAAACTCAGAAAAGAAGGGTGAGAATGGTTGCACAACTTGAAGAATGTAATCAATGTCACTAAATGGTACATGTAGAAACTATTGAATTGGTGTATGTTTTGCCGTGTATATTCTCAACAACAACAGAATAAATCATAATAATAAAAAAGAATCAAATGAGTTAAGTTACATAAATTGTTTAGCACAGTGCCTGGCATGGAAGGAACGCTCCATAAAAGTTTAGGTCCAGTCGTTCTGGTGGTGTCGGTTATTAATATTATCTCTTCATATTCCCTGGAGATTATGACCAAAAGGGAAGTTACTGGTAATCAGAAGTCCCTGTGGGCTTGAAGGGATTTATAGAGGAGTCAATTATTCCATCTCCCTGCCTCTAAGCTCAGCTATTCCTGGGGCTCCATCTTGGGTTTCAAAAGCTCCAGGGAAAGTGTTGTTGTCAAACACTCACTTGGAGACCTACTTCAGTGTCTCATTGCTTCATGGTGAGTTTTGCAGCTCAGACCTCCTTGCTACAGCACAGTTCTTATTGGGTTCATACCAAGAGATGGAAGAGTTCAGACAATACCGCTGAACAATTTTGAAACATCTAACCATGGGTATGACCAAGTGGTATAGTGTGTAGCGTGCCCAGACTACTTGCAGGTAATCTTCCCACAAGTGGAGTTTAATTAAGCAAGCAAAGGGCTTTAGGAGATATTTCAGGTTCGCATTTTTCAAAGATTCTATGCCAATTTCCTGAAAAGCAAGTTGCCAATAGCCAATTTACTAGAAGCCAGTTCTCAAAAAATCAGTTTGCCAAATGACTAATTCACTGACAACAGAAAAATACTTTAAACTAGCATTAGGATATTTTGCCATGTTACTCCCCAGGAGCAGAGGCAAAGTGTAAGTCTAGAAAAAAATTTGACTAAGTCAGTTAACTTCCTTTAAGGAAAAGCCCATCTGTCTGCATAAAAAAATTCAGAGGCTGAGGTGAGACTAAACTTTAAAAGAAACCCTTAACAATGAACTGAATTAGTAATTTGAGTTGATTTCGGTAGCTTGGCCTGCTGTTCCTTTTTCAAATGGATTATTTTTTTAATTCTGTGGTGCTGATGGTGTGGGTAAAGTGTGCATAGTTTTTTGTTTGTTTGTTTGTATTAATTAAAGCCTATGCTTTATTCAGCCCTGGTGGCTCAGTGGTTAAGAGCTCAGCCGCTAACCAAAAGGTCAGCAGTTCGAATCTACCAGCTCCTCCTTGGAAACCCTATGGGGCAGTTCTACTCTGTCCTATAGGGTTGCTGTGAGTCGGAATCGACTTGACGGCAATGGGTACACACACACACACACACACACACACACACACACACAGTGGGTTGCGTGTACTGAATAGGTAGCAGAAGGTCATTAAGGAAGGAGCCCTGGTGGTACAGTGGCTAAGTGCTGGGCTGCTAATCAAAAGGTCTGCAGTTCAAACCCACCAGCTACTTTGCAGGAGAAAGATGTGACAGTCTGCTTCTGTAAAGATTACAGCCTTGGAAACCCTATGGGACACTGGTCACTATGTGTCACTGGGAGGTAGAGCCCCTGAGATCTTGAACTCTCACCCCCTCTCCACTCCACTCCAGGAAGCTGAAGAAGAAACTACCCCATATCTTTGAATCAATTCAAGCAAGGAGAGAAAACCTGTATCTGGTAACAGAAACTCTGGTGATGGCAAATGAGGAAACCCGGAGACATGAGCGGCAATCTAAATTTTGTAGCTGGATGAATTGGATCAGCCTCAGTTTTAAGCACAAGGTTAGGATCCTGGGAGGCAGGGATGGAGCGAGAGCCAGCCCTGGCCCACCTGCTGCAGGTCAGGGCATGACAGCGCAGACTCTAGGCTCTTCAACTCTTCCTTCAGACCTCCCTGAGAAGCCTTGCCTGCTGCTTGGCCCTCTTGTCTTGCTCCCAAAATGGGTGTGTGGTCTCGCTAATCAAGTCCCTCCTCTGTAACTCTTTAGTGATGTCTGCTTTCTGTTTTCTTCATGGCACTTCCCACTGTTTCTAACTACACAGGTGTTTTTGCTTGTTCATTGTCTGCCTACTTTCTAGGAGACAGGAGGGCAGGAGCAACAGTACCTGAACAAATAAGGCCCACAAACATTTGCTGAATGAACAGTGGAGACAAACAATTTTGGAGTCAGACATGGGTTCAGATTTTAGCTCTGCTACTTGCCCTCTCTGAGCCTTCCTTCTCGCATCCGTAAAATGGGGATAAATATATCTACCTCACAGGATTGTCTGAGACAGCAGACAAGGTAACTATGTAAAGCATCTAGGGATCTATCAATGTGAGCTCCTTTCTCCTAGAATCAAACGTCAGTGACGATCCCCACCCAGTGGGTCCTGGGATATCAAATAAAGCAGCTTGTCTTCCCCAACCCAGAAAGGATGAGTAAGCAAGGCCTGGTGGGTGGATGATGGTGGAGAGGGACACTGAACACGAGTGGGGTGGGGGTTGACTCAGCCGGGCTCTGTGCTAAGCTGGGGCCAGGTGAGCTTGGAGGTGGGGAGGGTTCCAGGAAAGAAGGCAGGTCCAGGCCTGGGAAGCAGGACTTGGGCTCCTTGCTTCAATCCTGCTGACCCAGGATTTGTGCCACTATGACACCAGGCCCTCCCTAGAAGGTAAGGATTCAGTCTCTCCAATTTTTTTTTTTTTTTTAATTTGGTGGCAGCAGGGTGTGGGGGTTGGGGGAGGGCCTGGAAAGAGGGAAGTTACAGAGAGATAACTGGTCTTTCTGATAACTGGTCTTTCTCTCTCTCTTTTTTTTTTGCAATGGCTTAGATATTTGTTTCTTGGGCAAAACAAAATCCTTTCCAGATGGTGAGTGAGCTGCTGGGCCTCCTGTTCATCATTCCAGAATGCGCAAGGATGCTACTTTTAGAATGAGGATGACAAATGGTCTGGAACTGTAGAGCTGTTAGGACTGAGAAAGCAGTAGGAGGCACCTGAGTGTGGGAACAACAGTGGTAAGGGCAGAAGAAAAGTCTGCCTGTTGGAGAACAGGCTGCACTGTATGTTGGCCCTGGGGTTCCCAAGCTCCTCTCAGGACAGCTTTGACTTGCTTTGTGCCAGACATTGTGCTGTGTCTTGGGCTCACAGCCCACATCAGAGGATTATTGATGGAGGAAGCATAATTGAATTACCTGGCCAGTTCTCACCCAGCAGCATTGGCATAGGCAGAATCCTATGGTTGCATATCTCTGAGGATGTAGGAAGTGGTCTGCAAACACAGTGCTCTGCCATATACATGCAATGACGAGGATACAAGTGCCCTGGCATGGGCAGTGAGGGATCAAAGTCCAGGAATGAACACTGGGAAGAGAATGTCCATAGGGAGCTGGAGGTGACTTGGAGACTTCTGAGATGATTCGTCTCCTCTTTGCAGGAAGGGATGGTGGTTCATTCCACCTAGGTAAGAATGGGAGCCAGCTGTGCTAAGGGTGTTAAGGGTGGCTGAGCTCCTGGCTCAAGGACTGCAGCTCAGATGGGATCAGCCAAGTGGGAACAGACGGGCAGTGTCCATAGCAAGTTTTAATTTTAGTCTGGAGGTTACATCTATCTCTTCCCAACAGTAGTTCTCAAACTTGGTGGTAGATATAAATCACCTGGGGAACTTTAAAAATATTGATGTCCAAGTCCCACGGATTTACTTGGTCTAAGGTGTAGCCCAGGCATTACGAGCGTTAATAAACTCCCCCAGGTGATTCTCATGTACAGTCAGGGTTGAGAACCCACTGCTTTAACTCTTCTCCTAAATCCTCACTACTCCTGTATGGTCCAAGGAAAGCACTTTGAATGGCAAGGACTAAATAACCCAAGTCTTGATTTCCTGGAGGTGAAGAAGAGTTTGGGGTTGAGAATAGACTGGGGGTGAACTGGGGTCAGCAGGAAGCAGTGATGGTGGGTGCCTGGGAGGGAGGATGGTTTGTTTTAACAGGAAAAGACTTGAAGAAGGGAAGACATTGAGAGGTGGTCTCCAGAAGAAAGGTGGACAAAGGATGGGGTCTAGAGGGACCTTCAGCCTTTTGGGCTGGGTGGGTCGGGTCCCTAATTGTTGCCTCTACAGGGAGGTCCTTGAGTTTGAAAAATTTCAGAAACATAAGAAGAAGGTGCAGGACTTGAGGAGTGGCTTCCAGGATCTGACTGAGCAGGAGCAAACAGATGTGCTAAGCTGCCTTACTAAGTTCCGCAGCAACGATGGTCATCTGCAGGATCTAGAGGAAAGAGTAAGGACCCAAAGAAAGAATTGGGGCAGATAGTGGGAGGAGGCAGTGGGGAGGCAGTTGGCTTCACTGAGGACAATCTGCCACAGTGGAACTGGTGCTCATTTCCCCCATCTCCTGGCCCCAGGCGTCTGAGGTCCTGATCTACGGGGATCTGCAGATGGAGGACCCAGCAGGTCCTCTCATAAGCAGCCTTTTTAATGCTGCTGGGATCTTGGTAGAGGCATGTGCAGAAGCCATTTAAGCCCTCCTGTATGCCTTGATGGGTGAGGAGGGATCTGGCTATATGGTTGGGTGAAGGAAATGCTGACAGAGGAGCCTGTAGGGAATTAAATCTTGGGAGGGAGTGCACAATACCCTTTACACTTTGTGAGGGATAGGCCTTCACATTTCAGAGACAAGTAGTCTTCCCCAGGTCAGGCATTGAGGGGCTGCCTCCTCTTCTCCTTGGCACAGCCTATGACCTTCTACTAAGGTTAAGAGGGAACAGGAGTCTCAGCAGGAGCCCATTTGGAATAACTCCCATCTAGCACTCCCAGGGGCTCTCTGAAATCTCCTTCTGATGCCTGTCCTGGGCCTGATCAGATACTGGACATCTGTCCCACCATGCGCCACTCCTCTCTGCCAACCATCCTCTTCTTTGCCCACAGAACTGTCCAAAGAGTATCAGCAGCTTGTGTTTGAGGCCCTGGAGACAGGGATGCTGCCCCTGTTGGTGGAAAAGGTGAGACAGTCTGGGATGAGGGTCAGGGTCATAGTGGAAGTTGATGCCTATGCTCTCAAGAGACCTAGAAGTCCCAGGGCATAGTCTTTTCCTACTCAAGAGTTCTCTGCCGGCTCACATTCATGCAGCTGGTTAACAGCAATTCTCTGGATGCACGGTTGCCAGAAAAATTTGGGTTGGGCTTTTTAGACCCTGTTGCTTGCCTATGGGCAAGAGAGGGGTAGAAAATTCTTAATCCCAGAATGGCAATTGGTACCCTCTTCAGTGCCAACACTGATTGATCAGCAGTGCCTGCCACTATGTTGAGAGAGTATCAGGCTCTCCAGGTTCTGCAGGAAAAAGTGCCACGATTGACTACTACGTCTGCCATGGGCTCAGGATTAAGGATTATTGCCAAGTATTTGCCATTTCTGGTATATTTCATTGTTCCCAGCTTGAACAGTCTGGTAGGTTTCTTTTTAGGTGGAGAGTACCCTGGAGAAGAAATGGGGAGAGCAATACAGCAATCCCCATGACATGGACTCTGACTCTGAGGTAAGTCCCCCTGTGTCTTCTGTGTTGCTCTCTCCATCCTGCAGCAGCTGAGTGACAAGACTACCTCTGCCTCCTCCTAACTACACAAGACCTTTAACCACTTCCCACTAGTCTCTGGACTCCCCTATTCCCCAGTCCAGCCTCACCACCACCACCACCACCACCACCACCATCACCCAGTCACCAGCATGATCTCTTTAAAACAAGAATTTTGCCATCTTTTGATGCAACCCATTCCCTACATGATAATGTTCAAAATCAGCCTGGGTTTTGTGCATGGAATTGTGATTAAAAGTGGTAGATTGATCATATGAATTTCCTTTCCCTTAAAATGACAGTAAAGAAAAAAAAAAAGATATAAACCCACACGGATAAAAAGAATGAGGCAGCAGATAAGAGATTTCAACACATCTTTCAAAGCTAGAAAGCAAGTAAAGGAGATGTGGGACTAAGAGGTTGGGGAAGAGTGGGGGAGGAGACTGATGGTTTTCATCATAAGCCTTTTAATTCTATTTGATTTTTTAAAAAAGAAAATGTAATTAAAAATAAATGTATGCTTGTTGTAAAGCATTTCAAACATTTCTCAAAATTAAAGTTGAAGGTAAATGTACTCTGTGACCTACCCTTCTCCCTCCAATATGATCACTGTTAACATTGGGTAAGTTAACATTTTTCCTCTTTTTAAAAAAACTAAGCTAGGATGATGTAACATAAATTGGTTTTGTATCTTTTGAACTAGGGTTTTCTTTTCAAAAATATTACATGCGGCAGGAACTCTCATACATTGTTGTTGGAGTGTATATTGATCAACCACTTTGGAAAACTGACTGACGGTATCTACTAAATCTAAACATATGCCTATGATCCAGCAACTCCACTCTTAGGTATATGTCCAAGAAAAATGAGTGCATGTACTTACCAAAAGACATGCATATACAAAAATGTAACAGGAGCTGTATTCTTAAGAGTCTCAAACTGAAACTATTCAACTGTCCAATAACATTAGGATGGATACACACATTATGGTATATTCATGCACCAATATACAACACAATAAAAAAAGGGAATAAATTACTGCTATGCATAACAATGGATGACTCTTAAGACCTAATGCTGGGCCGATGAAGCCAGATAAAAACAACATACTAACGTTTGGGTCCTTTGAGAAGCAGATGCTAAGATGAGATTAGATGTGCAGACACTTATTGGGGAAAGGCCTGTGAAAAATAAAGCAGGAGCAGGGGTGGATTATCCAATAGGCAAGGTAAGCACCATGCTTACTTTGCTTATCAGATCATCTGTAGTGACCAATTTCACATTTTTTCACCACATCAAAGATTCTGCTTCTAGGTATGGCTGGCATCTGTCTCTCTCCCAACCCTACAACACTTTCCTACCAAGTCCAAGCCTCTTTTCAAATTTACAATCCCTGAAGGGGTGGATTATCAGTAAGCAAGGTAAGCATGGGCTTACTTGTGCTTACTTACTAATCTGTAATGTACAATTTCACATGTTTTCAGCACAAATTGTTCACTACAGATCAGTAAGTAAGCACAGGTGAGCCCATGCTTACCTAAGGGTAATCCGCCCCTAAGTAGGAGGTAGCACTAGGCAGGAAGAGCCTTCAGACCATTCATGTACGGAAACTTGTGAAAGAAAGGAGGGAGGGAAAGATTGAGTAGGAAAAGCCTCAGACTGCAGTACAAGTCTGAGAAAGTCTCAGCCAAGCTGATAGGGGAGTCTCCAAGCAAAGATTGTTGACTGAAGGAGTCCCCATTAGGCAGGTATGGCCAGGCTCTATTACCCTCTGCCATGCTCAGTCTTTGGCTGGGAGGAAGCCTGAGGAAGCTTGGTCTTGGGAAGTAAGATTTAAAGGGGTGGTAGCTGGAGGTTCTCTGTCAACTATGCTCTTTGCAGCGGGTTCTCTTAAAGAAGATCTAAGCAGTGCCCTTGATGGCCGTCATGATACTGCATAATTCCATGTATATGAAGTTCGAGAACAAGCAAAACTATGCAATGATAGTAGAAGTAAAAAATATGGTTATCTTAATGGGGCAGTATTGATTGGGAAGGGGCATGAGGGAATCTTCTGGGATGTTGGAAATGTTCTATATCTTGATGTAGATGGTAGTTACACAGTATATATATGTGTGTGTGTAAATATTCATTGAGCTAACACTTAGGATCAGTGCACTTTAAGCATATTATACCTCAACTAAAAAGTTTTTAAAAAGTATAACTTCATGTAAATGAAGTGAAAAACAGGCAAAAGGAAATGATAGTGGCAGAAGTCAGAATAGTGGTTAATCAGTGGGGGCACTATTGCCTGGGAAGGGGAATGACAGAATCTTCTGGAGTGCTGGAAATATTTTATATCTTGATCTACAAAGTGATTACATGAATATTTACATGTGAAAAAAGGCATTGAACTGTGCACTGAAGATCAGTGCACTTTACTATACTTTTTACCTAAAATTTAAAAACTTATGCACATGAAAACATATTTGAACAGTACAGGAGAATATTAAAAAAAAGTAAAAGTCTCCTCTCAAACCCCTGCACGCCAAAATCTAGTCCCAGTTTCCTGAGATAGCCAGATTAACATTTTTTTAGTTTTTCTGCTTGTTATTTTTGTCTTCCCTATCTGGGTTGTTACCTGGTTGCTCTGTCCTGTGTTCTGGTCTTGGCTTGTTATCTGATGTTATTGATTTTCTAACCGGAGGACTCCCTTTAGTATTTCTTGTAATTTTGGTTTGGTTTTTGCAAATTCCCTAAACTTCTGTTTATCTGAAAATGTCCTAATTTCGGCATCATATTTGAGAGACAGTTTTGCTGGATATATAATTCTTGGCTGCAATTTTTTTCCTTCAAGGCTTTGTATATGTCATCCCATTGCCTTCTTGCCTGCTTGGTTTCTGCTGAGTAGTCCGAGTTTAGTCTTACTGACTCTCCTTTGTAGATGACTTTTCATTTATCCCTGACCAGTCTTAAAATTCTCTCTTTATCTTTGGTTTTGACAAGTTTGATTATGTCTTGGTGACTTTCTTTTGGGATCTACCTTGTGTGGGGTTCAATGGGCATCTTGAATAGATATCTTCTCATCTTTCACGATATCAGGGATGTTTTCTCCCAACAAATGTTCAAAAATTCTCTCTGTATTTTCTGTTATCCCCCTCCCTGCCACCCCATTCTGGTACTCCAATCACGCATAGGTTATTCCTCTTGATAGAGTCCCACATAATTCTTGAGGTTTCTTCATTTTTAAAAATTCTTTTATCTGATTTTTCTTCAAATAAGTTGGTGTCAAGTGCTTTATCTTCAGTTTCACTAATTCTGACTTCCATTGCCTCAATTCTGTTCCTATTTCTATTGAGTTGTTTAATTCTGAAATTCTGTTAATCTTCTGGATTTCTGTTTGCTGTCTATGTATTCTTACAGCCTGTTAAATTTGTCATTATGTTCTTCTCTAATATTATTAAGTTCCTCTATTGCTTTGTCTCTGTGTTCCTTGGCTTGTTCTGCGTTTTGCATGATCTCCTTCCTGATATCTTGAAGAGTTCTGTATATTAATCTTTTGTATTCTACCTCCGGTAATTCCAAGAAGTTCTCTTCCTCTGGAAAATTTCCTGATTCTCTGTTTTGGGAGCTTGCTGAAGCCATCATGGTCTGCCTCTTTATGTGATTTGATATTGACTGTTGTTTCTGAGCCATCAATAAATTATATTTATTTATGTTTGCTTACTTTGTCCTAGCTTCTTGTTTTGATATGCCCAAATAGGCTACTTGTATGAGCTAATTTGATTATTGGCACCTTTGAAGCTCTAATACCCTGTCACCAGTTGGTTAGATCTATTACTAGGTATGTGAGCCCAGGAGTCCGTTTACTTTTCTTGTATGGATTCAGCTCAGTTGTGCAGGTAGTTGGTCACTAAGTGTGTGGTGCAGGCTCTTACCTACAGTCCTAGATGGGCAGGGGTGATTGGTGTAGGCACAGGTATCTGGCTGCAGTAGGGGGTCACACTCTGAGCAAGGCAGGGGGCTGATGGCTGCCCCTGAGTGTCTGGGAGGAAAGCATATCCCTGTTCCCTAGAGTGCATTGTGGGTGGGTTTTGCAGCCAGACTATGAGCACCCAATGCTGTTGGCTCTAAGGACCACTTATTCTTGGACCCCTGTTGCGGGTGGCTACGTGGCATGAGTGGTCTGCTTATTATTATAAGAAAAAATTATAAGTCTTATATCTAGTTCTTAATTTATTAACTGTAGATAATATACACTTGATTCTCCAACATGAAAGATGAATACTAAGTTCAAAGTGGAAAAAGTGTTATAAAAGAACAATTCAGGGTACTATGAAAGTATTTAATAAAAGGTAACAGGGAAAAAGAATAGATGAATAAACTATTTGCTTATAAAATAAAAAAAGGTAATAGGGATGCACCCCCCCTTACCTCTGCCACTACCCCCTTCTCTCTTCCTTAAACTCTGACTCCAGCCACACCAAACTATTTGTGTTCTATTTGAACATGCCATGTACTTTTACAACTACATGCTTTTATACAGGTGGCACTCTCCCTCTGCCTGGATTACCTTCCCTCACCTTATCCATCCTTTAAGCTCTAGCTCAAATAGCCCTTCGTTGGTAGTCATCCCCGTTCCCAAAGGATTTGGTCACTTCCTCCTCTGTATGGCCCACAGCATGGTGAATACTTTCTATCATGGCATTCATCATACTGTACTGAAATTATTCATGTAATCTGTCTGTTCCACTAACCTGAAAGCTTCTGGAGGACAGGGTCCGAGTCTATCTTTTCTCTGTCAGGGCTCAATAAACAACCATTTGCTTCAAAATGGCCTTTGAGTTGAGAAAAGTTTGTTTTCACAGTTACTACAAAATGCCACTTGTCTACTTTTGTTCCATATTGCTTCTAATGCTTACAAAACTTAAACTACAGCAATTCTATAATTATCTGCAATTTTAAAAAAGTATGATATAGGTGGATATTTTGATATATTAACTCAAAAGAAAAAGTAGGTTACTAGAAAGTATATACAGGATGCTAAAAATGTGATTATAACAGTGATAATATTTTAGTGTAGCATTGGTGCATGGATAGACAAATCAAAAAATGGAATGGAAGAGAGTGCTCAGAAATTGATCCCCAAGCATAAACGGACATTTGATATATGAGAG